AAAGAGATCTTGGGAGAAAAACCTAATCAATCATTATCAAAAGACAGTTGCCAGAAAGACAATAAAGCAGCAGAAATAGCTATGTGATTGCTTGCCTGGAAAAGTTTTAATTTTTGACACCCAAGCAAAATATATTGACACCCAACACAGCATCTGGCACAAAGTGTACACCAAAACAAAAATTTGTTGACTATGAATGACTGAGTACTCTACAGGATAATACCTAATTTCTCCAGAGACCTAAGGGATCAATGTACTAATGATTATCAAGCCAGAATTCCTGAGGTTTAGGTCTTGAAGTGAGTGGGAAAGAAAGAAAAAAGGGTTATTACATAACAAGAAATATAAGCAAGGGGTTATGAAACAGTTGTGTAATACATGGTCCATTATAAAACTGAATGGCCTTTTACACCCATGGATTAAATTTCTTACAAATATCTTCTAGGAAAATGTTTACCTCACCAGAAGAAATAGTAGGCTGAAACAAAGCAAAACAAAAGAAAGCCTTTTTTTTTTTTCGGACCATCAGAAAGCATGATTGAGGTAGTATTCTATTTTAGTATTCAATCCCTAGTAATTACCTTTCTTTATATGTTTTCTGATCTTTTATATATTTATTCCTTATGTATATATTCATTTTTATTACAAAACAATTCTTTTTTGAAATAGGCAACTATAAATTTAAAAAATAACAAAACAATCAGCACCTATATCTGCTTCCAGTATACATGAAATGATGGATAGATGAAAGGAAGAAGGAATAAGAGGAAGAAAAAAAGTTGGTTTTTTGTTAAGTTAAGACAATGGTTTTCCTGAATAGCTATCCATAAGTAAACTGAAAGTTGGCGATAGTTAGAAAATGCATAAATCATTACAGCTACCTCGTGTTAGATCTGGTTACTTTGGCATTCTCAGTATTCATGGACAGTGCCTTCCACTGTGCAGTTTTGGCCATTTCATCTGATATGTTAACAACTGAGGGATCAACACTGAAGAACAAATACACTTTCTGGTTAGTATTCAGTACTTGCAAAAGCATTAATATTGTCATTCCTATTATCTCTATCATATTTGCTTTCATCAACTTAAAATTGAGAAAATTCTTTGTCATGCACTTAAACCAAGATCTAGCAAGACAGCAGTATTTTGGAGTTCTATTATAAAGGTCTCAAGGGGAATTGCATCTTTCTTTATAATCAAAACTAGCAATGAGACTAATTAAATTGGCAATGATGCCCAAAGGTGATTATCTTGGCTATAAGTATACTATTGAAATAACATAAAGGAATACATTAATGTGCTTATAAAAAGTGATACAGCCTCAAGTCAGTTAGAAAACTTTTATAATCTGCAAATTTCAATTGCAGCAAACAACTATCCAAAGTATGTAAAGAAAAATTACAATTAGGATTTAAAAAATTTTTTTTCATAGCTTTTTTTTTTTTGCGGTGCGTGGGCCTCTCACTGTTGTGGCCTCTCCAGTTGCGGAGCACAGGCTCCAGACACGCAGGCTCAGCGGCCATGGCTCATGGGCCCAGCCGCTCCACAGCATGTGGGATCTTCCCGGACTGGGGCACGAACCTGTGTCCCCTGCATCGGCAGGCGGACTCTCAACCACTGAGCCACCAGGGAAGCCCTTTTTCATAGCTTTTAAAAATCATTAGAAAGAATTCTGGGAAATGGGACACTTTAAAATTAGAAATTAAAATACTTCAACAGATAACACACAAAAAAGGTTTATAAGTACTGCTTTTAGCTGGTATTACCATATCAGTAATATTTTTAGCATGAAGGTGTTACTATATAAAATTTATCAAAATCCAAATACCGTCCTTTCATTATAAGAAACAAATGTAACCATTCCATGTCTCTGTGAAATACTGCAAAAATTACCTCAAAACCCCAAATCCAATAATGAAGATATCCATAATAATTTGGGGCTCAAGGTTGTCAGTTTGGAGTAACATGAAAGTACTAGGAAGTTAACAGGAATATATTTGCTAGTCCTTTTTCTTCACCAAAAGGAAAACGATTCATGCAAACAAGCGACAAATACAAATGTCAAATGAGATGTTAAATTAACAATGTGCTGGCAGCCAGGTTATAAATGACTGAAGAGCAGTCATCTGTTCACACTTTAAATCTGCATGTCGTTTATGATGTAAGACTGCAGTAAAGAGTGACGCAGCCACTGGAGACTCTCTAGGAATGGCTGCTTCACCAAGTGAAGTTTTTAAAAGTGCACAAATTTGGACACCCAAATTCACCATGGCAGAGCCATCCAACTTGAAACCCTGTCTACCCCAAGAAAACGTTTTTTTACTCAGTTGCCAACTTCAAATAACTGAAGAGAGAAGTTCTTGAAGCACTTTCTAGCTTCTAAATGATCTTCTCTAAGCAAGAACTTTCCCGTTAGTAGAAATTGAGACCTTTTTTGAAGAAAGTATACATTTTGTTTTTCCCCAAAATAAAACTAGATGGGAAAAATTTTGTCTACATTAAATAAATTATTTTCATATTTTATAGGACTTTATGGTTTCCAGATGCTTTCATATGTTATCTCACTCCATTTTCATGGCAAGTAATCCAAAGCTAATTAAGATTTAAAATTCAGGCAAATAAACAGTTCAGCCAGTTCCTGGCATTGTGGATGTTCAAGTTTTAATCCAAATGACATTAATCATGGTTCACGTCATCATTTAAAAGACAAAAGTAAATATACATATAACCATTCTTTTTGTTAAATATTTGACAGTGTAAGCATGGACTCCATTTAAATTTGTCAAGATCCAATGTGTAATCACAGTGAGAAAGAGATAATGCAGGACCTGCAGAAATTAAGTGGCAAACAATCTCAGCAAACTGGTGAGTCACCAGTAACCATCATGGCAGTTCCTATACTCTTTTTAGCAACAAAGTCAATACATTAATTCATTTAACAAACATTTACAGAATCTAGAGAAGCAGAGCACTCTATTTGGATATATCAAAATGTCTATACCTGGCATTTAATTTTAGGTATATACAAATTTGAGGAAAAATCATGAAAGGTGACAAAGAATAATACCAATGGTAAAGGTGACAAAGAATAATACCAATGATACAAGTTAATAATACCAATGACAAAAAGTATTAGAGAAAAATTACTTGTGAATTCATTTATCAAAACTAATCAACATGTACAAGTCCAAATGTGCCCTTATACAAACTATAAACGTAAGTTGAAAATGAAAAAAGGTTGAAGCAAGATAATTAAATATCAACAAACATTTTCCATTAACTGGTCAAGGAAGGAACCTATATATATTCTAAAACTGATTTTTCTTCTATAAATGGCCAGTCATAAATAGAATAAATGTGTAGAAGAATCAGGTGTACATAAATAATAGAGGTTTTTAATCTACAAAAAAGCTTACATTTCCCAACCTCTGTATTTAGTTCTTAGATTCAAATATAAATCGCCAAAATCATACATGATAAACTATATATGAAACTGAATTTTTCCCTAGTATGAGCCCTCACTGCCAATGCTCAAATCACACCTTCAGAAACCGCAGGAGAGTTCTAGGGCCTCTAAACATAGTCACATTATCACAGGGTACCAAAAAATGGATTACAAATGTTTATTTTCCAGCATACACCAACCCCAGCCGTAATGAAAGGCAGAAAAAAAAAAGCTGTACTACTGAGAGAATGGGAATATTCTAAGACTGATTTTAAACTTCACTGAAACAGAAGGAGTGATGAACGACAAGACAATCTCTGCTTGGCATGGATGCCAAGGTCTCCTTCACTCCTTCCTACAAGTGAGAAGGGGGATGAGCCAGTGACTTTCTTTTCCACCTGCAGGAAGCCCTCCTTTAGCACACATGTCAGATGCAGTGTTTGTCATCTTTTAAAAAACAGGTAACACGACTTTAAAGAAACATTGCATGGCTTATTCATGCATCTGACATGTAAATGAAGCACATTTTAAAGGATGAAGCTGCATCTCACCTGTATTTTAGCGCCTTAACTGGAATCTGCAAGAGGCTTCCCCCTTCAAATGGAAGATGCACAGTATCTTCACCAGCTTGAAGCATTCTCTCAGCTTCCTTTAAAGCACATACATGAAGAGATTACTTTTCCCAGAATATTTCCAGGAGGACCAATTAATATATTAATATCTTAAAGAATCAGAAAACCAAACTGACAATATTATTTAATCTGCCATGACTGAAAATTTTACCATGAACACATACTTGTAGTACAAGCTGAAAACAACCACTTGTAAAGATTAATTTTAAGAGGTTGTAACTTTCACTTCTGTAAGTTAGTCACTGATACTGTTTAAGATATCAATTTAGCTACATAAATTTTATTATCAACTATGACATAGGCATACAATGAGCGACAAAATTTTGTGAAACCTCATAACTCTCATTATAATATAAGCAAAACCTCACTTGGATAAGGCAGGGTTTCTCAATCTCAGCAATACTGACATTTAGAGCCAAACAATTCTTTGTCTGGGAGGTAGTCCTGTTATGCAGGAT